TGTTCCATTTGTTTTTGCTGATTAGGTATGAAATAGACCGGATGTACGATGTCTTCAAACCAAAACGACAATGAGTTGTACATTCGTTGCCAGAATGTCATTCGATCGGTGAAATGGTTAAGTGTAAATGGCACATAAGATGCAAATATTGGAGTTCCAACTAAATCAGTGGTCCATTTGTTGGCGCCAAATGCGGAGATTGCAACAATAGGCGCATTATAATGCATGCCAAGCCCAAGCAAAGCATCGTTAAGATTTGTTTCTACAACGACAACATCGAAATGTTGCTTGATTTTAAGGAAATCTTGCAGATTTCGACTGGAAACGGTCCACTTTGTAAAATTCATTCCCGCTTCATACCACGCAAATGTCATATCCCAAAAGAACAAATTCGCAAAGTCCATGAAATTATCTTTGGCCATATCTATCATGGAAAACGAACAATTTTAGTACACAGGCTTTTTCCAAGTATTTTATCAAATAAAATATTACATTTTTGTGTTTCTACCCAATTGTGCTCAAGAAACACTTCTTTATAGTTTTTGATTGGTGTTTTCTCTTTGAATGGACTGATCACAGTCACTTCATGACCATCTTCAGCTAATCCTTTCATTAAATTTTGACCTATGTAATAATGAGACCTCGATGGAATCGGAAGAATCGCCAAAAACTTATAACTGTCCACATTTTCGTTTAGGATATACAAAATTAAAAACACTGAGAACAACTTCATTTTACCCGAACTCAACTGATTGAAAACTCAACACGAAATAAGCAGTAGCTGTTGTGAAAGGGGCTTATAAATAACTACAAATAGTTTGATAAGAATATTCAATTAAGTGTGATTGAGTTGATAAGGTCGCCATCAAAGTCACGCGGAAAGTCAGCTGTGTTAATTTATCACTTCCTGAACCAAGTGAAGTGGTTTATGTTTAGTACTTGCGTCAAACGACTCCGGAAAAACACTTATTATTTGTAAACACAAAATCGAAATTTCGTTTGAAATCACCTTATTGTTTTTGCATTGAATTGATTAAAATATATCTGAGATGGTTGGGTCATTTCCTTAATGTCAAATGCAGAAGAAACGATTTTTCGGATTTCTCAAATGTTTCTTATAGAACTAATTTGGTAGCAAAAGAGCAAGTTTTGGCATTTTCACGTTTGGTGTGTTCGATAATAAAAGGAATAGCAAAATCTCAATTGAATTTTTTCACGCTTTATTTTTATTGATTTCAATGTTTCACTTTTCCACCATGAATTTTATACAGACGTTGTTTCACCATTAACGCAAATCAAAAATATTATATCGTATAATACACTCAATTTCAGAATCTCATGTCGAGTGTAATTTTTCTTTCGAATCATACAACTTTTTTTTGTTATATTTTCTACGTATTAATACAATCCAATTAAAAATGTGTTCATCATTCTGACATTATTTGCACTTGTTTACATTTTGTCATCCATATATTTTTTTTATTCATACATACGCAACATTTGAACACGGCACTTGCTAGATTACACCCTGATAAGGTGCGATGTAGCATTTTTTTGCTAGATTGCACCTTGAAAGTCTACTTTCAATTTATGTTATCACGGCGCATTATAAAAGTGATAAAGTAACGGTTATATTGTTTATTTGACTGAAATTCTTGTTGAAATGGCCATTCAAACCGCTGCTATTAAACAGCTGAACTGATTGCTCGAATCATATTTTATAAAACTTCCAAAAAAGAGAAATTTATTGCATAATCGTCGAAACAAAAAAAAAATTCCTTAATTCGATTTTAATTCATACATTTCTTTTCATAACGTAATATACATGATTTCCTTCAATTCTATGATTGTTTGACCTTGTGCGTTGATTTCGCGCCAAACAAAACAAATACTAGGGCTCTTATCAATTTAGTGAGCAAAAAGACACAGAAAGCGATAACACCACAAATGAATGCCCACACATCTAAATTATACAGCTTATAGAAAGGCAATTCGACGGCGACACTTCTCAAGTGTGGAGCACCTTTATTTTTGGCCACGTGCTTGACCCAAAACTTTCCTGTTTCCAATGGTGTTAGCGGCTGATCTCGGAATCTATCGGAAATTAGTTTCGCTTGCTCGGCATAACTGCAAATTGACGTCAAATATTTAGTGAAATTCCAATTTAAGTTACGCATATAATCGTGTTCACCTTGGATTACTGAGCACTTTATCAACAGCTGTCGTTATTTTGTCAGCCGTTAGCGATTGAATTGGTACGGATTGAGCATATCCTCTTTGTTGAGCCAAATACATACTGGAATAATGTGATATTTTAATATATCATAAACAATTTCCAAAATGCTATTTTTAATTCATTACTTCAGATATTGATCGAAAAAGAACGGAATTCCAACCAGTGGCTTGCCAAAGTGAACAGCCTCTGAAAATGGAACACATTGATTGCAAGCAAATCGTATATGGAATTCGAAATGTGTGTATTACCAGTTGTACTCAATAGGCCGCCATGAGTAACAAATAATTTAATATTCTTGTGTGCCAAAATCGATTGCTGGTTGAACCAAGATTCGACCAACACATCCGCTTCCTTGTGCGATGTAATGACGATGTGCTCATCACTCTTGATTAAAATTCTATAATTTGGATATGCTTTGAATGCATTTGTAATTGCGTTGAGCTTTTGTTCTGGCAACTTATTTATAAGAACATTTGATCCAAGTGACACAAAAATCGCACCATCTTTGGCTTCATCTAGAAATGTTTGTATTCTCAGAGCCAGCGGTTCGATTTCTTTCTGAATTTGCATGCCACCGACCTCAATCATATTCGGTGCATACGGCCGTGGTGTTCCGAGCGTCACATGAGTGTTCAACAGAACTAGCGACACATTTCGTCGGATTTCCTCCAGAGATGGCCAATTTTTTGCTTTTGGAAACAGGTGTTCCATTTGTTTTTGCTGATTAGGTATGAAATAGACCGGATGTACGATGTCTTCAAACCAAAACGACAATGAGTTGTACATTCGTTGCCAGAATGTCATTCGATCGGTGAAATGGTTAAGTGTAAATGGCACATAAGATGCAAATATTGGAGTTCCAACTAAATCAGTGGTCCATTTGTTGGCGCCAAATGCGGAGATTGCAACAATAGGCGCATTATAATGCATGCCAAGCCCAAGCAAAGCATCGTTAAGATTTGTTTCTACAACGACAACATCGAAATGTTGCTTGATTTTAAGGAAATCTTGCAGATTTCGACTGGAAACGGTCCACTTTGTAAAATTCATTCCCGCTTCATACCACGCAAATGTCATATCCCAAAAGAACAAATTCGCAAAGTCCATGAAATTATCTTTGGCCATATCTATCATGGAAAACGAACAATTTTAGTACACAGGCTTTTTCCAAGTATTTTATCAAATAAAATATTACATTTTTGTGTTTCTACCCAATTGTGCTCAAGAAACACTTCTTTATAGTTTTTGATTGGTGTTTTCTCTTTGAATGGACTGATCACAGTCACTTCATGACCATCTTCAGCTAATCCTTTCATTAAATTTTGACCTATGTAATAATGAGACCTCGATGGAATCGGAAGAATCGCCAAAAACTTATAACTGTCCACATTTTCGTTTAGGATATACAAAATTAAAAACACTGAGAACAACTTCATTTTACCCGAACTCAACTGATTGAAAACTCAACACGAAATAAGCAGTAGCTGTTGTGAAAGGGGCTTATAAATAACTACAAATAGTTTGATAAGAATATTCAATTAAGTGTGATTGAGTTGATAAGGTCGCCATCAAAGTCACGCGGAAAGTCAGCTGTGTTAATTTATCACTTCCTGAACCAAGTGAAGTGGTTTATGTTTAGTACTTGCGTCAAACGACTCCGGAAAAACACTTATTATTTGTAAACACAAAATCGAAATTTCGTTTGAAATCACCTTATTGTTTTTGCATTGAATTGATTAAAATATATCTGAGATGGTTGGGTCATTTCCTTAATGTCAAATGCAGAAGAAACGATTTTTCGGATTTCTCAAATGTTTCTTATAGAACTAATTTGGTAGCAAAAGAGCAAGTTTTGGCATTTTCACGTTTGGTGTGTTCG